GTCGTGATCGCATATGCATACATACTCGAGCATAACTTAGTACATGTATCGATAGTCGTGATTTAGGTCCCCCAGCCTTTCCCTTTCCTTCTCTGTAACCTCCGGCTGCGTGCTCTTCGCTCTGCTTCTATTGTCAAGTATGAGCGCAAGGAGATAAGCCGCGCTTGATACTATGCTTAAGCATGCAAACACGACACATATCGTGTATCCCTTTATATACTTCGGGCCGTCTCCCGTCGGAAACAAGAACGCGACAATGATACCTCCAATGTTACCAAAGGAAACTTGCCACGCCGTACCCACAGAACGTCGCGTGTGGCCCGCCAAGTTGGTGTTGAACCACCCGACGACGATGGGCATTGAAGTATAGGCACCTGACACGGCGAGAAAGAGTGCTCCGTACTTGACACTGTGCCGCGGCGGATCTGATAGCAGTACAGCGAAGCCAATGAGACAGACGGCGGCAGAGATGAAGGTAAAGAACCATCGGTGGCGTAAACGGTCAGAGATAAAAGCTAGTGCCATAGCAAAACCGAACGCAGCCACCCATGGTGGAACGGAATGTAACTGAGATTGGATAGCTAGTGAATGATTTGATTACAAAAGGCAGGTCCGAGAGCGCATGAATAACGTACTTCCATATCCTAGTTGACTGATGATAGTTGGCGCAAAATACGTATATCCGTACGCCGGCACAATAAGTCCGAAATACATGAAGCCTCCAAGGGTAATTTTGTCTGTTTATGGACGAATAAGCAAGTTTCGAAAAAATGGGTTGCGCAAGCACTGACAGTCTTTAAAAACAGCTAAATTATCGCGCCACGTTGCCTTCTCTTGATAAGCGGAGGCACCAACATCGGCGGCCAGACGCTTCTTGACAAAGTCGCGTTCCTCCTGGTTAAGAAACTTCGCCTCTTCCGGAAAATCAGGTAGAAAGAAGAACCATGCAATGCCAAAAAAAGCCGTAGCAAGGCCCTCTGGATGGACAATCTCACTCAGCTCTTACTACCGTAGTGATACACTCCGGAACTCACCTAGAATGAACACCCATCTCCACCCACGATAGCCTCTTACTCCGTCCATCGTCCCAATGGCACTGGCTAACAACCCGCCGAACGCACCAGCCAAAGTCGTCGAGCAGAAAAAGAACGTAAACCGCTTCTGCGACTCTTCTCTGCGGTACCACATCGCCAAGAGGTAAAAGCACCCCGGAAACATGCCTAACCGTTACAGTAAGCACAACGAAACCCACAAACGCGTATAATATACTCGCCTGCCTCGAAGACTCCAAGAAACCAGCGCGTTGCGATGAGACCGCCAAAGTTCTGAACGAATCCTTGCAGCATAGTGACGACACCAAACATAGTCATGCATATGGACAGCCAGACGTGCGGTTTCAGTTTCTTGAGCAAGATATTCGAGGGTATCTCGCACAGGATGTACGGAACGAAGAAGATGACCAGAGCGACGCTATACTGGTTTCCGACGAGCTTCAGGTCGTCCTTGAGTCCGAACAAGACCGCATTCGAAATGTTCACACTGGAAAAAGTCTGAGGTCAACTCCATCCCTACATCAGATATCGAACATACCGGTCTAGAAAAGCTAGGGTGTACATCACACAGATGTACGGCAGCACATGCAGATCGATTTTGTGTAGTAACTTGCGCTCGTTGATGTCGCTGCTCGCCAGCTCGTTGTGGACGGTTTCGTTACGAAACTTTTCCAAGGAGGAGACCATGGTAGGCGAAGGTGATGGAGAAATTGTCTTGCCATGCTCAGTTAACTTAAATAGTCGCGGTGGTAGTTTGAGTCAAGAGCGGTTTGTTGTTGGATACCTGATTCGAGGTCGGTGATTGCGTGGGAAGAATTCTAGACTTCTCTCTCTTACCATCACCACGGTCTTCTTCGTCGTAGCGTAAACCCCAGTATCACGTCAAGACATGGCTGTTGGGCAGGACTCCTTGATGTCGCTGCCAATTGTATGGGAAAGACATGCTTGCTGTCGACGTAGGTCTGCGGTACCGTTGCCACACGCTCGTTGTAGCACTTTCGGTACCGGACGCTAGTTTGGATATTGCATTTCTTCTGTTGGAACATGGAGTAGCAACTTTGTACGCACAAGGAGGACCCTAAATCATCCGGATAGTATGGCGTAACCGATGATTTCGCTGCTTCATGGGGTTCGATTGCACAATTCTGGATAACGGTATATCGCATAGCACGTTAATTTTTGTACTCGCTGTCAAATTCCGTCGCTCTATTATCGGGTCCTGCTTCCACATCAAGTCTGTCCCAGTGTTATGTTCAGGATCATCCTTTTGCTGCTGGCACTAATCTCGTGTTTCTTGCGATGTTCCGACTTGGAGGCGCACAAGGCATTTCCGTCGACATGATGGCCGCCGCGAGCATCCCGGCCAAGTGTTTCACTAGAGCGAATCCAGCCTTATTCGCATTCACCACTTTAAGGATATGGTGGAGGGTATGGGGGGACTACCGACTCCTCCATCGCTGGCAAGGACTGTGGAGAAAAGACAGTTGACTCAGCGGACGATGACAAGGTTTGAAAACCTTCGGTGAATTGAATTGGAGGCTTCATGCATATCATCCTAACGTTGGTCTGGCGTGGCAACGGATGTTGCTTCTATAGGCTTAGTACTGGGGTTCGATTCCCCGAATACTACGGAGCCTTTGGGATCATCTGTCCAACGATGATTGGGGCCGATGTGCATGTGGGATTCTGAATGTGGGATCGGTCGCGGCGGGGCATGGGGGAGTATCGAGGTAAATACAACCGGGCATAGGTCGTATCATGAACGGGACATGTAGTAGCCGTATCGGGCGTCGTTAAAGGGGTCGGCAGTCAATGTTGCCTTGCGCGAGAGATTACGCGTGGGGGTAGGTGAAATGGTCGCTATCCGGGGCTATTGGGGCCACTGGATAAGCCAAAACTATATAAAGATTAAGTACCAATAAGGACTAGGATTTGAAACCACAGAAACGAACCTTTCTGAGAGGATTTGGTGCGCGACATGGGTGCGGTGAGATGCATGGAGCGAAGGTATAATGTATAATTTGAGGCCCAATTTCCACAAATTTGCCGGGCAAAGTTTGGCGGGAGCTTCTGCCAATGGGGGCCTCCACGAAGTCGCTCATAAAAGGAGGACAACCTCGTAACTGAGGTCCGAGGTACACAGAGTATGAAGAGTGACAGGAGAGCAACAGAAGGATCGCTCAATAGTCGTAGGCTATGCACAGCCTCTTTCGGAAGTCTCAGACCGATCAAGCCAGTTGAGCAAAAATCAAAACCATGAATGGCAGTACCATAACAAGAAGGAATGTATCGACGCGAAGCGTGGACACCCGCAACCACACGTTCTTTCGCCATGCTTAGTACCGTATGAGCATGTCGTTGGTTCTCCAGGGGCGGGGTGAGTATCCTGGCAGACAGTCAGGATCGACAGTCTCATGTGAGGCATGGCAAGGACGCTGTGAAAGGCTGAGTCATGTCGACCAGGTGGTGTCGTGGTGGGTGAACCCACCGGCTCTTCGGGTATGCGCCTAGCTGGATCGGACATCCCCGGATCCTCACCACGCCTGGCGCGCTCTGCTGATGAGATCACCGTTTGGTGAGGAGGTACGATTTCGAGGGCGTGGGTTTAGGCCTGGTGTCGCCGGTCCTGTTGTAGATTCTAGATGAAATACAAGTAAGTTCAATTCTCCCAATAAAGAGTCTAGAACAGATACTAACATATCATTTTTGGAATCCTAAACTTGATTGCCTTTTAGCGTAGCACCCGTGGAAACAAATCGATATCGCTCAGAGAGGAAATCACCGCTCGGCTTTTTCAAATTCAGGTGCCCGGAGAGAGCTGGGAGCTCCTGCCAACACCTATTATTAGTGATTCCTGCGCGAGCATGCAGATTCAGGGTCGCGACGAGAATACGCGACGTTTCATACGGTGTTTTGGTGCCAAGAGTACGAGATCGCCCATCTCCCCAAAGCGTATGGGACTGTATGCTGTATGGGAGAACCTAGCGAGGAATACGATTTGGATTTGCGCGGGCAAGACAGAAGAGAGTATTGGTGCTCAATGATTGGCCGTTGCACCGTCCCCATCCGTTTCTGTGAGATTTCGCTGCGCTGGAGGAAACCCGGCGGCCAGTCAGCGGAGTTTCCTGCCCTCTGTTTTCAATCTCCGCTCACGTGGATCGGTCCGATGTCTCAAAGGGAACTCACCGAAACGAGACTAGACTCGCCCTGGCGTGAGGGTTGAGCGGACTGGCTTCGCGTCGGGCGTCACACTGGGGACACCAAGGATGCAGGAATAGCTGCTTGGCAATGAATTGAGCGTCGCAGTAGCATCTCGGCACATTATACATATACTCGACCATAGAGTACATGTATCATAGAATGCCAATAAATGTCTCGAACAGTCTTGCAGACGGTGATAGGTGAAGATTTCAATCCTGGGGAATTTCGAACCGCGTGAGAATACGCCCGAGGAACACTTCATAATTGGCAAGGACTCGACATCGGGGGCTGCAAATGATTGATAGGGGAATCGGCCTGTTTCGTGGGAGTGCACAGAGCGTTCGCTGAAAGGTAGGCTCAGGGCTGAGAGGAAAGTACTTTGAAGTACTCATATTGATATTGCATTCCGGTCCATCTCGGACGTGTTTTTCGTATGAATTCTGCTTTCAACATTCAGCGTGTTGTCATCGGTCGACATTGTAACGCGCTTGCTGGAAAGACGATCGAATTGATATTAGAGAGAATTTTCAATTTTGTTGAAATGCATGAGGTTTCGTCTTGCACCGCGCTCGCCGCTACAGGAGTCTTCAGTCGGATTGAGGTCCCGCAGGCACCTGGAGGTTGGGACTGGCTGGCACCGTGAAGTTGGAACAGTGATACAGTATACCGTCCCAGTCTCCACTCAGGAGTCAGAACGCAGTTAGAACTTAGGAGTTGTAGAAGAAAAAGAAAAAAAAGAACAGCGTCTGCATTAAGGGGGAATCGAACCCCCGGCGGGTCGAGAAATCAATTCTGATGACCTCATCATCTGATGGCAACGACCCAGGTTACCACTACCCCATTAATGCACCCTGAAAGATATTTCACTGTTAATCTTTGATGTCTGTGTGAGGCTCTAATGGTGGTTCGTGATCCTGAATTTACCTTAATTCTTCCTACCATGGTAAATTTTCTACTGTTGTCTCTGGCTCTGGGTTACTTGGCTGTTCGTCCTATACTCACTCCATGTATCTCAACCTGCCGACCCAGAGCATCATAGTATATGTTGATAACACCATTCTGGTTCTATCTTTCCGTATCGGCCGATTAACGACATGTCCGATGATAACTCGCATCCAAATGTTATAAAACTCGCAATTTCCATCATCATACGCACCATTCAACATGGCACACAAGCCAGCTACCTCGTTCGCCGACTGGGATCGCTCCGATAAATATCACAATTCTTATCTGATCCAGAAGGATGACAGCCTTGAAGCCAACATCAAGAACAGTGTCGCGAAAGGGTTGCCAGATATCGCTGTCAGTGCTGCGCAGGGACAGTTCTTGAATCTTTTGGCGAAGACTATTGGCGCGAAGAGGATATTGGAAGTCGGGACCCTTGGGGGGTGTGTTTGACCTGTCGAGCAATACTTCGCTACGTGCCAACCAGAAACGACAGGTATTCCACAACATGGCTTGCGAAAGCTCTTCCTGAAGGAGGGGAGTTAATAACTTTTGAACTGAAAGAGCTCCACGCCCAGGTACGTGATACTGTTTGACGTGTTCCTGACCCTAATGATGCATAGGCTGCGACAGAAAATCTCACTAAGTCCGGGGTAGTCTCCAAGGTCAAGATAGTCGTTGGGCCTGCTTCAGAGTCCCTGGCCAAGGTTCCCTCTGAGCCCAAGTTCGATCTCGCCTTCATCGATGCAGACAAAGCTTCTATACTGCAGTATTTCACTGAGGCCAAGCGTCTTGTTCGACCGGGCGGAATTATAGTACGTTATCCATGATAACCGACATTAATATATGCTGATCTTCCTCTCCAGATTGTAGATAACGTCGTCCGTAATGGACGAGTTGCTGATCCATCTTACTCGGATGAGAGTGTGGATGGTGTGCGGAAACTGCTTGCTGCTTTACCCGAGGATAACGGGGTGGAGGCGATTACGATGGGAACTGTCGGGGAGAAGGGCTATGATGGGTTTTTGTACGCAATCAGGAAGTGAAGGAAGTGGATTGGTGAGATTACGGTGTATTTTTACTGTATCTTAAAGAAATTATTGTCAGAACCGCGAGGCCAGACTCGAACGAAGCGCTGTAGCAGACGAGACACCGGGTACTAAAGAAGAAACACGCCAGTACGAAATCCCTTGGGAAGCAAACGAACGCGTTGCTCAATTCGTACCAGAATCTATATGGCGACTGACTAGTGACTGTCAGTGTCATGTAAAGCTCTGCATCTCACAATCTTTCCATCGCAGAGTAACCGGAGTTTAACTAACGCGGCAAATGCATTTCTTTGGCGTGTTGTCTCTAGCTCCGTGATTGATTCGCTTTAGAGCCATTCAGGCCGCGTCAATAGCGCACTGGCTGGTCCTGTTCATTGCATCTTTATCAGTTTACTCTGGTATACATCGTTTTCCGCTTTGTTCGGGGTCATGGAAGGTAAAAAGTCGACCAATCTTCCTTTGGGTTCCAGCAAAGCTATGGCGAACTTCCCTGCCACCACTTACACTGACTGGGCCCGCTCAGACCAATACCATAGATCTTTCCTTATGCCAAAGGACGACGTTCTCCATGCTGCTCTCCAAAACAGCGACGCTCATGGACTACGGACAGAGATATCCGTCAACGCAGCGCTCGGCAAATTTCTGAACTTACTTGCTAGGTCTATTGGTGCAAAGAGAATCCTTGAGATCGGGACACTTGCAGGGTACGCATCGTACTCGTGTCACTGTTAGCTGCCTTGGTAACAGTTATTCACAGATACTCGACTATATCTCTGGCAAGAGCACTTCCCAAGGATGGAAAGGTTATATCTCTCGAACTTCATGAACTCAATGCCAAGGTAATATCAGGTGGTCATTATCTTGCGTCCCAAGACTTATTTCGGCCCAGGTCGCCTCGGAAAATATTGCACTCGCTGGTTTGACTTCCCAAGTTGAGATTATCGTCGGTCCTGCACTCGAAACCCTCGCAAGGTTTCCAACCGAACCCAAATTTGACCTGATCTTCATCGACGCGGATAAGCCCCCCATGACTGAGTATTTCGCGGAGGCGAAACGGTTGATAAAACAAGGAGGGGTTATTGTGAGTACATCGGCTTTTTGTGAGCAATGCACCTGACACATAGTATGCATAGATCCTCGATAATGTCGTCCTGAATGGCGACGTCGCCAAGGAACATCTTCCAGATACGCTCTCCGATTATGACAAAGAGAAAGTTAAGGGAATTAGGAGGCTGCTTGCGTCAATTAAAGGAGACGATGAAGTCGATGCTACGACTATCAGTACTGCCGACGAGAAGGGTTACGACGGCTTCATGTATGTTATTCGAAAGTAACTCGAATCGGACTCAAATCGGACTTGTATTTTTTGAATATCAAAAATTGCTTTGTCAATATTTGTTCAGTGAGGAGGAAACCAAACATCCGCGCCCTCGCGACGTTTCTCAGGGTCGCACCTCCATCTCATCGGCGGCACACGAGCTCTTGCCACCAGCCAGTTTCTGCATTCGATTTCCAGTATCCCGTCTGAGCTGGATTTCTTTCATGGAGTCTGACCTCGCCTCGTATTTTGACCGCAGTGCCAAGATTGTCCATGCGTATGCTGACCGGTGAGCTGCATGTCGTCAAAGGAGACGGGAATTTGCTGAGCTGACGAAATATACAAGCATTGAGTATGGGTATGCACGACCGGGACTGAAAACCGCACGAGAGCTTCTGAATGAGCATCCCATCCCATTTGTGAGCCTCATTTGCCGTACTGTAACGCTTTCGTTGACGCATTACTAGGTGTTCTTCCTGTTCTTTTCTCTACTCAGCGTTTTCCCCGTATTGCTCTTCCTGTTCGTCTCCGATTTTCTGATTGTCTTGCCTCAGCATACTTATGGTTTCAACAGCGGCTGCTCCGTTTTGGTCACTCTGTCTTTCGTTCTGTTTGCGCTAAGCTCGGCTTTGTTGGCGTCGGGCGTCTTCATTTTCACGTTTGGTGCGTCCTTTGCGATTTTTCTTCCATTTTACCCCACCAATAACGCATGTCTAGCATCTATTCTGATCGTCGTCCTCTTCATGAACGTCTGTATTGCCGCCCTCCCTACTATTGCCTTATTTTCGGCATACTCTGTCATCCGGTTCCTCTCCTTGACTCGTTCTGGCGGACGCGCGGGTGCCGCGGAATGGGTCGATGAAACCAAAAACTTTTTCCTCCATTCTGGACGCCAAAATCTTCCGGTGAAGGAAGATGACGAAAATAATGATGCTGTATCAAATGCGTCCGCTGGATCCATGGTCGTAGTTGAAAACAAGGAACACGAAAACACGGCGGCTAGCGCCAGTCCACAGGAACCCTCCAACGGTTTCACAGTCAAGGAGGAAGGTTAAATTTGCTGCAAGCTCTTCGTCGTAAACAAAAAGAAGGTTCGGACTGTTTTAAATTACAAACATGTATGGCTTAATAGGATTACAACGCGTGTAGTATTACCAGCAATAACATCATCGAAGTCGGGACACAAACGCAGGCCTACGCGGGACTCTCCGTATTGCTGACCAAGCTAGGTCGCAGCACGTCACAGTGGTACTGCGGTAGTATCATCACGGAAGCCATCACTGTGGCTGACCTATATTCATTTGAATCGAACGACGGTGTTTTCAGCATCACCTCTCGGATGAACCTCTCGCGGTCCCCTCAGGTAAACAACTGTACAGAATCCGAGAGCACCAACAATCATCCAAAGTATATCCAGGTTCGATAGTTGCTCAGGCAAAAAGCCTCTGCAATTAATCAAACTCAAGCTGATGCAGCATGTGTCCAACCCTGTCCAACCCTGACCACCCCGAGGATGCACCGATCCAAGTTAGGCGCGTCGTCTTTCCGAGAATAAGGCATTTGCTCGGAGACCCCGCCTTTTATAACAGTGGATTCTATGGCTGGATGTTGCTCACAACCATTCGTCGCAACGATGACAAAAATCTTGTATCTTCCGCTATTTTTCGTAACCTTGAGGGTTCTTGCACAGTCCACGGCCGCTCAATACGGTCAGGTGACTCTCCCCTTTGCTTGGAGTCTACATTCTCAGTTCTGACCTTCTCCGATCTAGTGTGGGGGTATTGGGTGGAGTGGGGCCACCATATGTCCTTCAGGGTGGAGCTGTAGCGTGCTGAACGATTACTACTCCCAATGTCTTCCCGGCGCGTCCACGATAGGTACGCCAACTACCTCCAACGCTGGTGGAGGGTCAACATCATCAACTACCGTCACGCCAACGACATCTGCTGCGGGAGGCTCAGCCACTTTGGCACCCGGTTACTCGTTCATCCGCGCAGTCGTAGGTCTCCTCTATTTCTTGCTCTTCCCGTGACTCAAGCACAATCTTCAATAGGAAGACCCCAACTTCCACAAATACCTGCGATCCGAGATCATCAATACGGCATCGACTGCTGTCCTCGGGGAACCCGCTGATGCTGCGCAGTTTGTGATTACGAATGGCCAACTGATTCAAAATGCCGATGGGACGCCGCTGTACGCTATCGTTGAAAACAGGGCTAATGATACGGTGGTCATGTTGAGCATGTCGTGGTCTGAGACCCCTGCGACATCGGGGACGTTTGTATTCAGCGGTGATACGCTTGAATGGAGTATTCCCACAATCACCAGACCCCAAACAAATGTGAGCTCATTATGACTCCTACTTGGCCGTGATACTGACGATATACGTAGGCTTGGTACGTATGCGCGGATGATGAAGGCAATCTCGATGTATACGTGAACTTGGGGTTCTATGCGTACAACACTCCAGCGGGTTGTGCAGATGAGACCATACACGCTTATACGGGATCTACGGCGACTGCGTAGAGAACTTCAA